TCTGCCTCAGCCTCCTGAGTTGCTGAGATTACAAGTGTGCACCACCAAACCCAGCCTGGCTCTATCATTCTTACCAAAATTTGAAAAGTGCCTAGTATAGTGGCACTCCCAAAGATTCTGGAGGCTGAGGCAGGAGGATTGTAAGATTGAGCCAACCTCAGCAATTTAGCCAGGCCCTAAGCAATTTAGTGGGACCCTGTCACAAAATAAAATTTTAAAAGTCTGAGCATGTAGCTCAGTGGCAAAGAGTCCCTGTTTCAGGATTCAATCCCCAATACAAAAAAAAGAAAAAAGTGACTTTAAAGTAATGAAGCTGACTCACACCAATGACAATCAAAGACACTTGGCCCAGATTGCTTTCCACTAACTTGTAAGTAGAGTTAAAAGCAGGAAAAAAAAAGTAAAGCAGAATTGTAAGAACAAATGTAAATAACTTTTGTTACCCTGACTTAGTCTTATACTGATCATGTGACCTAGGTAAATTTCTACCCAAAGCTAATTTTTCCTTTTCTTTCTTTCTTTCTTTCTTTCTTTCTTTCTTTCTTTCTTTCTTTCTTTCTTTCTTTCTTTCTTTCTTTCTTTCTTTCTTTCTTTCTTTCTCTCTCTCTCTCTCTCTCTCTCTCTCTCTCTCTCTCTCTCTCTCTCTCTCTTTTCCCTCTCTCTCTCTCTCTCTCTCTCTCTCTCACCAGGGGCACTTAACCACTGAGTCACATCCCTAGCCCTTTTTTGTATTTTATTTAGAGACAGGGTCTCACTCAGTTGCTTGCTTAGGGCTTTGCTAAATTGCTGAGGCTGGCTTTGTACTCAATATCCTCCTACCTCAGCCTCCAGAGCAGCTAGGATGGCAGGTATGCACCACTGTGCCCAGCATGAACCTAATCTTTTTAAGGACGGTCTACCTGAAGGCCAGAGAAGTCCTTCTTCTATTGAGCTGGCTGAGACTGGTTGGATCTGAGATGGCTGCTAGAGTGAACCTGGACAACCTCTAACTTGATTATAATCCCATCTGTGTGCTAGATGACACACCCCCTGGCACTGTGACAGTTGATAATGACAGAAAGAAACATAAAAGGAGCAAAACGTATTCAAATTCCTAGAAAATCTTCTTGCATTTCCAGAAAATACATGAGTGTTCCTCCCCTTTTATTAGTGTATTTCTCCCCCTCATTTTTAACCTATATTTATAACCTCACCACGCCCCAAATAGGGAAATGATTTGCCAGTTGATCTCCCACTTCTATTTCTGGCCAAAATAAAAGTCTTTTTCATTGCTCAGTCCATGCTCGGTCTTGTTATTTGACTCCACATTTCCAAGTAGGAGAAAAGACCCAGCCTTTGTGATCAGATATTGATTAACACTGTCTCTTACTGACTTACCCCAGGTTGGAATGCTGTCCTAGATCTTACAAATTCCTGTTTAATTTTTTTAGGCAAGATGCTTAATTATTGCTGGGTTTAAGGGGGAAAAAATCAATATCCTATCTTCCCACTGATATTATGTTTTGATAATAATTTAAACCTTTGGAGAAGGCAGTATGGTAATGAAACAAAACCCCAGCATTGGCTCAAACAAGGCCAGACTTAATCCCAGAGCCACATATGTTGGCTACGTACCATTGAATATTCATTACAAACCTCTCCTGTTCCTCATTTTTAAAAAAGGCCAGGCATAGTGGCCCACACCTGAAATCCCAGGAGGCTAAGGCATGAGGATCCCAAAATCAAGGCCAGCCTCAGCCTCAGCAACTTAGCAAAACCCTATCTCAAATAAAAAATAAAAAGGGCTGGGGATGTGGCTCATGTGGCTTAGTGGTTTTAGCATCCCTGGATTCAATTCCCAGTACCCCCCCCCCAAAAAAAAAAAAAAAAGAATCTGCAAAATGGGAATAAATGCAAGGATTAAATGAGATGACAAATAGGAGGCCCAAGCACAATACTAGACACACAATAAATGGGAGTCTCCCTTTCCTTTTTATGTCAGTTTAGATTATGAACATAAAGTAACTCCCCACCAAGAGCTGCTTCTGACTGAGGGCACCATTTTCTGGGCTAGGAGCTCTTGGTGGCCCTTGATTGTGACTGCTGATGGCACACATCTGGAAACTATGACAGCCAGTTTGCTTTGAGTTCAACTTGGCCCCAGTGTCTATAGAAGGCAGCTTCTATCCTTCAGTTTTTCCCAACACATCATAGCTTGGCTTGGATATGGGAAGAGGGGTGGCTGTCAAAGGAAATGCACCAAGTCTGGAAGGAACTGAAATTCAACTAACAATTACCAAGTCCCAAGTCCCATATTGTCCTACTGGGGCCCTGTCCCTAGAGCTTTTATGGCTAGTCTCATTGAAAATACTACTGGGAGCTTTATTTTGATGTCTCCTTTGCAGATGCTTCAAATGAGATTGGAAGATTCAGTGACTTTCCCAAAGTCACAAGGATAATAAGGAATGGACTTGGAAGAAGATCCCAGGCTTTTGGGGTGTTTTTTTTGGGGGGGAGGGTTACCAGTAATTGAACTCAAGCTGAGCCACATCCCTAGCCCTATTTTGTATTTTATTTAGAGATAGGGTCTCACTGAGTTGCTTAGCATCTCACCCTTGCTGAAGCTGGATTTGAACTCTCAATCCTCCTTGCCTCAGCTTCCCAAGCAGCTGGGATTACAGGTGTGCACTATTGCACCTGCTCCCAGACTTTTTGATATGGCAGTAAAGCAAGGAAAGAACACATATAGTGCTTCTAGATCAACAGCTGCAGCAGCTGCCTGCCAGAGTCTACTCTGAGCTGACAACTCTTTAACAAGTACAGAGAGACGAAGGCCCAAGCAAGCTTCCTTGGCCTTTAGAAACCCTGTGTCTAGGCCCTCTGTCCACTATCACATATAAACTGGGACAGGTAGTGGCCTATGGCTAAATAAACATGCACCATGGGGCCAGGGGTGCAGTTCTGTGGTATAGCCTTTCTTAGCATGCAAAGCTCCTGGCTTTGATGCCCAACACTGCAAAAACAAAGACAAGCCCAATACAACACAAGACAAAAAACCATGCCATGTAATCAATACCTGATCACAAATTGAAACAAAAATCCATTTCGTAAAATACTTCCAGCATCATTTATTTAATCTTTTCTTTTCATACTAGAGATTGAATCCAGGGACACTTTACCACTGAACTACATACTCAGACATTTTAACTTTTTTATTTTGAGACACACTCTCACTAAGTTGCGAGGGCCTGGCTAAGTTGCTAAGGCTAGCCTCAAACTTGTGATTCTCCTGCCTCAGCCTCCAGAATCTCTGGGCTCATAGGTCTGTACCATGTAGCCATATGTAATATTTAATATTTTGGGTTTTATTTGCTTGCTTGCTTTATTTTGATGATTCAGAAGGTATTTTAGGACCAATATTAACTATCATTAATTCAATGAAAATCTACTAATCTACCTGTACTGTTTAAAAGCACTGTTCTAGATGCTGGGGATACAAAAACTCTTGAATAAAACCTCTTCCAAGGGCCATCTGTTGTAACAGATTAAGTAGTGATAAATTGATATTTAAGGGGTTTTTTTTTTTGGCAAAGAATGCTAAAAATTAAAAGTCAGCTGTCTTTATTTATTTATTTTTTATTGTTTAAAGAAATACAGAGCAGTCCTAATGGCAATTCCTTTATGGGCTTATTAGTAACTTTTTCTTAATTTTCATTTTTCTCTCTCCTTTGATTGACAAAAGGACCCCTTTATTTCCAAGAGTATTTTTGGGTCCCAGCATACCCAGCTTCTTCTCCTCCCTTATCCACTGTCAAAGGAGAGTTATCAGAATGTGGGTTTCAGTACAAACCTGACTGGATGAGTCAGACTGCAACAGTAAAAACGCTGCTAGGGCATGGAGTAATGGCCCACTACTGTAATCCCAACAACTGGTGAGGCTGAGGCAGGAGGATTGCTAGTTTGAAGCCAGTCTTAGCAATTTAGCCAGACCCTGTGTCAAAATTAAAAATGAAAAGTACAATTTTAAAAAAAGTGCTGCTAGTATTTAAAAAAGAAAAGAAAACTACACTTGTTTAGTGGCAGCTGCCTGTAATCCTAGCAATTCAGGAGACTGAGGCAGGAGGATTTCAAGTTCCAGGTCAGCCTCAGCAATTTAATGATACCCTATCTCAAAATAAAAACTAAAAATGGCTGGGTACTTAGCTCAGTGGTAAAGTGCCTCTGGGTTCAATCCTCAGGACCAACAAAACAAGAAACAAAAATAAAACAAACAACAACAATTTAAAAAATCACAATGCAGTATTTCAACTCCCCTCCCTTCAAATCAAAAGCCTAGTGAATGAAATTAGGACCGTTATTCCAGTACAATTATCCCGCGGATGTCCAATTGAAACACTAAAAGTAAATCATACATTTGGATATTACATTTTATATTTGAAAACGTGCCAGAAAAGCTTTATTATGTTTGAGCATAATGTCAGGAGACAATCTTCTACAAATTTTATACATAACTTTTTCCATTTTATCTGTTTTCCATTTATGTTGAGTTGAACACATGATGCGACTTTTAATATTCTCTCTTCCTTCTTCTTTTCCGCGTTTAATGCCAAGTGAGCAAACTCAATCTTGATTATCCTAAATTTGCCCTTGGGTAACCTCAGACCAATTTTTTTTTTTTTAAAGTTAGCATGGAGAAAGAACAAAGAAGAACTTCTAAGTAAATTTATAAAAGAGGTTCTGTAGATGCAAACCAACAGCCTGGAAAAAGGAACAGCAAGCACCCATGAATTATAGAAGACGATCTTGGCTCCAGGCAGTTCTTGCCAGCTCAGGTATCAACTCAAGGAAACTGATCATAAAACAAGGCAATAAACAGTGGATGGCTGTGGAAATAAAAACCCCTCGAAGAGGCAGGGCTGGGTGGGGTCTGGCGGCGGGGCTGCAGGAGCCGGGCGCTCCGCGTGGGGGCGCCCGAGCGCATGCGCTGTGGGTGACGTCAAGGTAACAACCGCCGCCGGAGGATGGCTTCCAGCTTTAAGAAGACAAAGGTGGCCTCCACCAGCCAGAAGAAAAAGGTGGGTCCTAAGCCCGAACTCACTGAAGACCAGAAGCAAGAAGTTCGGGAAGCGTTTGACCTCTTCGATGCCGACGGAAGCGGGACCATCGACGTGAAGGAGCTCAAGGTGGCCATGCGAGCGCTGGGCTTTGAGCCCAGGAAGGAAGAGTTGAAGAAAATGATCTCCGAGGTGGACCGGGAGGGCACGGGCAAGATCAGCTTCAACGACTTCTTGGCCGTGATGACTCAGAAGATGTCGGAGAAAGACACCAAAGAAGAAATCATGAAGGCTTTCAGGCTCTTCGACGACGACGAGACCGGGAAGATCTCCTTCAAGAACCTCAAGCGAGTGGCCGCCGAGCTCGGGGAGAACCTGACGGACGAGGAGCTGCAGGAGATGATCGACGAAGCGGATCGCGACGGAGACGGCGAAGTGAACGAGGAGGAGTTCCTCAAGATCATGAAAAAGACCAACCTCTATTAAAGTCGGCCAGACACTCAAGTGACTCCCCGGGTTCCTTGCTTAACTGGGGAGGACAGCGTCTGTATTCCCTCCTTCCTCTCTGGTTTGTCTTGATGGATTTCGAACCTCGAAATCAATTATAGTATTTAAAAGATTCCTGTAACCTGAATTCCTTTTTTTTTTCTTCTTCCTTTTTCTTTTCTTTTTTTTTTAATTCTCAAAGAGCAAACCTTCAGTGCCATTGGTTAACTTAAGGGCTCTGAAACTAGAGTCCACCCACCGCTTGCCTAAACCTGGTGGACACCCATTAAACACGAGCAACTTCTTCCAGCAAACAGAAATGTGGTTCCCATGTCGCTTCTTTGGTGGTCTTAAATGATCTTGCTTCATATGTCATTCCTTAAATTCAAGTTAGAGTTCTAGCATGAGGAGGTAGAATCTGCCAGCAGGTCCTTCAAGCCATTGCTTGTCACATAACTGAATACTGGTTTGAAGAAAAACAGTATGGACATTTCTGAATTTACTGACTTCAGGAAAGACACTGTTTTTAAAGTATAGGCTTGCCTTTGGGAGGTAGTAAACTGGGCAATGTAGACTGTTCCCTGGCTTCATCAAATGCAAATGGGTCCATGTTTAATGACTGTAAATTATCTACTGAGGGTTATCCAGGGCCAAAAGATCTACAGAATAAAAATAAAATTTCATATTGATCCAAGCAAAATATATCTTCTTTATGAGATTAAGCTAACTAATGATTTTGTGTGTGTTTAGTATTGGGATTGAACCCAGGGGTGCTCTACCACTGAGTTCACCCCTAGACCTTTTTAAAAAAAATTTTTTTTTTAAACAGGGACTTGCTAAGTTGTCCAGGCTGGTCTCAAACTTATTTTCCTGAGCAGCAGGGAGCAGGGACTACAGGCATGCACTATCACACTTGGCTAATGATTTTTTTTAAGTAAATATTTACAAACAAGGTCTTAGTTTAGGAAACTGTTTTTAAATATCTAATTCTGGGTTTGATCTCCAGCTCCACCACCTCCCCCAAAAAAAGGAAAGAGAAAAAATTCTGACACATTTTAAGCTCACTTATCTGTCCTGGAAAGATCAATGGATAAATGGATATTTTAGTTATTACAGTAGTATAAAATAACCACTATATGCATTTTATTACTCTTAGATATGAACCACTACCTACCTTCTAATTCTTAGAACCTCTTGGTTCTTGGTACTTGATTTATCCCCCCTCTATATAGTCAATGTCAGAGTGACAGCAATATAAGTAGTTCTCTGTTTTTTTAAATCCCAGTAAACTATTTTACCATAACTTGTGTATGTGTTAATACCACTTAGTTTCTGTTATAAATTAAAACTCTCTTGTTTTGAAATGAAAGATATGTGCCCTTGAATATCTACAAATCTGAAGTCAGAGAAAATTTAAATAATATATATCATCTGAGATGGAGGTTTTGACAAATGGCAACAAAAATTGTTAAAGAGAAAGGCAAGATATTTTGGTCACAACTAAACCTAAATTAATCTTCATATAAAGTCTTATTAAAATAAATGCTCAAGTCCTGGAAAAGTTTTCACTTGTTCTGCCAGTAATTTTACCCTTCAGAGGGTGGTGGCTCTAATCAGGGGAACTATTACTTGGTGATCCTCATTAAGGGACTAATTTGTCAAAGCAGTGGTACTAGCTGAAGTGATGGGTATGTGGGCGTTCACTGTGAGAAAGGATTTTGCTGAGGTAGCTGGCACAGGGCAGGGGACTCACTCAGGCTGCAGATGATGCTACCAGTTCAGGGTCAAGGACTTTGTGTGGGCTCAGGTGCAATTATGGTGGCAACAGGTGCAATTTGGGCCAGCATCTATGTGAAGGGCCTGATCTGAGGACAAAGGGGACTTATGGCATTCTGGGAAATGAGAGTTCCTGTTGACCAGAGTCTTGGCACAAGCATTGACATATCAACCAAGGTAGAAATACCAGAAAGAAAGTTGGCAGAAACTAGGAGACGGGTTCAGAGCCTTTGCCAACTGGACTGGGCTCAGCATTGGCTCCTGGCCCAGCAGAGAAGAGAAGTGAAAACCAGGAACCTAGGCTGAAGTCCAGCAGTCAGGCTGGCCACACTGAGGGGTCAGTTGCAGAGGCTGCAGCATAGTACCTAAGGGGTGATCTGAGGTCACAGTCCATCCCCAGACCAGGAATTCTGAATCCCATTCACTGCTAAGAAAGAATCTCTCAGTGCATTGAATAATGTGTTGTTCTGCTTCTTGGCTGGTTCCTACCCTATAGAGAACAGAGAGTAAACCAGGGTAGGAGGAAGAATTAGAATATGCCTACACTGACATTTGAATTTTAAGAGAATTTAATCATACACTGACTGGGTCAGACATAGACCATTTTTTGTGGGGGAGGGTAATTGAACACTGAACCCAAGTGTGATCTACCACTAAGCTAACACCCCAGCCCTATTTTTTAATTTTTCAGTTTGAGAAAGGATTAATTAAGTTGTCCATGTTGACTCAAACTTGTGATTCTCCAGCCTCAGCCTCTGGGGTAGCTGGGATTACAGGTGTGCCCCACTGTGCCCAGCTATATCCTGGTCTTTACAAAAGTAGACCACACAAAATTCAAAGAATTTGTAGACATCTTTATGAAGATGAGGAAATAGCTATAAGGAATGGAAAGAACTAAAAATGTCATTTTCACTGGGCTATCACAAATTATTCTGATAAAGAAAAGAAGCATACCAAAGATAATGTGACTGTAGGGTCCTCAAGGGTATGCTCTTGCTTTCTGATGATATTTGTAACAGTTGAAAAGCAGAGTATTAGACCAAGCATGAAAATACAACAATATCAAAGTTATATTAATATATTATCAATTAAAGCTAATTCAAATGTATTCTGCTGTTGTGTATAACTAAACAGAACAAATTTTTTAAAGATTAAAAATTCCAAAAAGAAAAAAAAGAAAGTTAATTCTCCAAATGAGAAAAGAACATTTAAGGGTTATTTCAGTTATGTTTCCAAAAATAAGATGTAAGTAGGGATAGGTCTAACTCTTGAGATCATTGTAGTGTAGTTTCGATGGGAAGCGTACTTTTGAGTCTGAGGTTTAATTCAAGTGTGCCTTGAGGATCACACAGGGAGAAGGGAGAAGCCAGGACTGGGCAAGAAAGACATTATGCTGTGATCATGTTGCAACAAAGGCTTCAGCTGATCCATGGGAGCTCTGAACTTGATGGCTGGCCCTGCAGAAATGTCTCAAGTTGGGATAAGAGAGCTGGGTCTTTATAACTTCTCACTGATTAAAACTCACTGGGCATGAACTATCCCCAGAAGTGAGGGTATAGCTTTGGGTAAGATGGCCCTCTTTGGTTAAGGGCAATCACTCAGAGGGACAGCCCAGCTACAAACTGTCCTCTGTCAACTTCTCAGCACCTGGGAGAATGAGAATGCTTCAGTTCCAAGGTGCAGGCAGGGCAGATGGGTAAAAAGGGGGAATCTGGGTAGTGTCCCATAGCTTCTACTATAATCCAGCTCTTTCACCAATTAGATCCACTGGCCTTTGGTTTTGTGGGTTGGTTTGTTTGTTTGGGGGTACTGGCTAGGAATGCAGGGTTTTACCTCTGAGGTCCATCCACAGCCCTTTTTTGTTTTGTTTTGGTTTGGTTTGTTTGAGATAGGGTTTTGCTAAGTTGCTTAGAGACTTGCTAAGTTGCTTAGAGGCTCGCCAAGTTGCTGAGGCTGGTCTTGAACTTGCATTCCTCTTGCCTGGGCTTCCCGAGCTGCTGGGATTACAGGTATGTACCACTATGCTCAGGTGTGATTTGGATTTTAAATGTCCCTCAAGAGCCCATATATTAAGACTTGGCCCTCAGCTTGCCACCATTGGGAGGTAGTGACATTTTAAGAGGTAGGGCCTAGTGAGAGGTCTTCCAGCCATTAGGGTATGCCCCTGCCCCTTCCCCTTCCTTTCTTTTTTGCTTCTTGGCTGTGAGGTGATAGGTTTTGCTTTGCTACATGCTTTGCCATGATGTGCTGCCTCAGCACAGGTCCAGAGCAGCAGGACCAATCATGGACTGGAAACTCTAAAACCATGAGCCACCATAAACCTTTTCTCTTTAATACATTGATTGCTTCAGGTATCTGTTACAGTAGAAGAAAACTGATTAACTCAGTCTTTGTTTCTCCTTCACATTTCTTTTGGGGGTGGGTACTGGGGATTGAACCTAGGGACGTTTTACCGCTAAGCTACATCCCCATAGCCCCAGTCCTTTCTTGATTTGATTTTTTTTATACCTTTATTTTATTTATTTATTTTATGTGGTGCCAAGGATCAAACCCAATGCTTCACCCATGCTAGGTGAGTGTTCTATCACTGAGCCACTGCCCCAGTCCCTCTTGATTTGATTTTTTTTTTTTTTTTGTACTCATCATTGAACTTAGGGGTGATTTATGTTTGAGCTACATTCCCCCCCATCCCCAGCCATCTTTTTAAGACAGGGTCTCACTAAATTGCTGAGGCTGACCTGGAACTCATTTGGAATCATCCTGCTTCAGCTTCCCAACTTGCTGGGATTACAGGTGTGAACCACCGTACTTGATCATTTTTACTTTTTTTTTATTTGTTTGTTTTGAGACAGAATCTCACTAAATTGCCTTAGCATACAGTAGGTTTTACTTTATTCATTCTGTCAATATCTACCCTTTGTTAATGGTGCTTGGAATTGAACCCAGGGCATCACACATACTAAGCACATGCCTTGTGACTGAGTTATACCCCAGCCAAATCTCTGCCTTTCAAATTGTATATTTAAACCATTTGTACTTAATGTAAATATTGATATCTAAAGGCTTAAATCACTATTTTACTTTTTGTCTTCTTTTCTTTTCTCCATTTTTCACTTTTGTTTTCTTTTTCTTGTCTTCACATTGGCTGCATAAATACTTTCATCATTTCATTTGATTTATTCATAATGTTTTGTTTTTCTTTTTCTTTTCTTCTTTCTTTCTTT